TAAATGGACTTTTATGTTTTCACTAAAGAATCGAATTTTTAATGTGAAATAGAAGTGATCACATATTTTCAGTGTTTTTGCTCTATCTCTTATAATTTCCAAGATAAATGGACTTTTATGTTTTCGCTTAAAAATTGACTTTTTAATAGGAAATAAAAGTGATCACAGATTTTCAGTGTTTTTGCTCTATCTCTTATAGTTTCCAAGATAAATGGACTTTTATGTTTTCGCTTAAAAATCGACTTTTTAATGTGAAATAGAAGTGATCACAGATTTTCAGTGTTTTTGCTCTATCTTTTATAGTTTCCAAGATAAATGGACATTTATGTTTTCGCTTAAAAATTGACTTTTTAATAGGAAATAGAAGTGATCACAGATTTTCAGTGTTTTTGCTCTATCTTTTATAGTTTCCAAGATAAATGGACTTTTATGTTTTCGCTTAAAAATTGACTTTTTAATAGGAAATAAAAGTGATCACATATTTTCAGTGTTTTTGCTCTATCTTTTATAGTTTCCAAGATAAATGGACTTTTATGTTTTCGCTTAAAAATTGACTTTTTAATAGGAAATAGTGATCACAGATTTTCAGTGTTTTTGCTCTATCACTTATAGTTTCCAAGATAAATGGACTTTTATGCTTTCTTTCAAAAACTGACTTTTTAACAGGAAATGGAAGTGATTACAGATTTTCAGTGTTTTTGCTCTATCTCTTATAGTTTCCAAGATAAATGGACTTTTATGTTTTCACTCAAGAATCGACTTTTTAACAGGGAATGGAAGTGATCACAGATTTTCAGTGTTTTTGCTCTATCTCTTATAATTTCCAAGATAAATGGACTTTTATGTTTTCATTTAAAAATTGACTTTTCAATAGGAAATAGAAGTAATCACATATTTTCAGTGCTTTTGCTCTATCTCTTATAATTTCCAAGATAAATGGACTTTTATGTTTTCACTCAAAAATTTACTTTTTAATAGGAAATAGAAGTGATCACAGATTTTCAGTGTTTTTGCTCTATCTCTTATAGTTTCCAAGATAAATGGACTTTTATGTTTTCCCTCAAAAATTGACTTTTTAGTAGGAAATAGAAGTGATCACAGATTTTCAGTGTTTTGGCTCTATCTCTTATAGTTTCCAAGATATATGGACTTTTATTTTTTCACTCAAAAATTGACTTTTTAGGAAATAGAAGTGATCGCAGATTTTCAGTGTTTTGGTTCTATCTCTTATAGTTTCCAAAATAAATGGACTTTTATGTTTTCACTCAAAAATTTACTTTTTAATAAGAAATAGAAGTGATCACAGATTTTCAGTGTTTTAGGTCTATCTCTTATGGATTCCAAGATTAATGGACTTTTATGTTTTCACTCAAAAATCGACTTTTTAATAGGAAATAGAAGTGATCACAGATATTCAGTGTTTTTGCTCTATCTCTTACAGTTTCCAAGATAAATGGAATTTTACGTTTTCACTCAAAAATCGATATTTTAATAAGAAATAGAAGTGATCACAGATTTTCAGTGTTTTTGCTCTATCTCTTATAGTTTCCAAGATAAATGGACTTTTATGTTTTCACTCGAGAATTTACTTTTTAATAGGAAATAGAAGTGATCACAGATTTTCAGTGTTTTTGCTCTATCTCTTATAGTTTCCAAGATAAATGGACTTTTATGTTTTCACTCAAAAGTCGACCTTAATAAATTGATTATGTGTCTATTATATGAAATTAAAAACTGTTATTCTATATTTTCAAATCTGATTTAAAATCCCATTAATCTAAAACTTGCTAAGATCTTATCAAATTGCAAATTATTGCCCAATAACATAAAAAAAAACATTCACTTCATCAACTGCTTCAGCACCTCCACAATTCACTCATTTAACTGAAAAAAACCAAGACAAATTTTTAAACTAAAATCATGTAATTGGAGTTATATTTTTTCCTCATATTTAACAAGATTAAATTGTTGACAAAATTCACTAATAAAAATAACATTATTTTCAACTTAAAAAAGACTTCGCGACGTCTGGCACATTGAGACACACTCAATTATCCAGTGATAAAATTGGAAAACCAATGATTGCTGCTACACTGGAGCAGTCGAAATGCTCCAATGTTGCAAGTTTAAGTAGAAAAATAAGAAATGGTCAACACTAAGTTCCAAGGAGATGAAGAAAAGAGACACGAAACTAGTTGGAAAAACAACTATCTCACGTTAAGTGGGTGAATATTACAAATTTCAATTTTATACTGGTTATATTCTGGTAAAAATAACAATTTTTTTGTGTGTTTTAAAGGTGTTATGCACGATGTACAAATTTATTGATTTAAGCATAAAATAGAGTCTAAAACTCAACAGCAACAATATTTTGTTTGTTATTTTATTTTTATACCCTACACCCCTTAGTAGTCCAAAATCCTTTCAAGATCACTTATGATGATTATTTAAACGGCGAAACATGTTTTTCTAGAATGATGCAGATATAAGTCTGTGATAAGATTTTGGAATAGAAACCTAAAGTAATAGGTACTAAGATATTCTGCCCTAGTCCTAGTATTTCTTTTCACAAAATTTTTCTAGTCACTTTATAACCTAATCTTCTAAAAATCACTTTCAATATACACACACACCTACCTAATGTAGGATATAATATAGTCAAGGTAGACCTCTTATACTTTCTTATTTATTCAATTGTTGAAGGAGTTGATTTGGTCTATTTTTTGTTTGTTGATTAGGTGTTGAAAATGTATAATCATAGAGAGTAGTGTCAGAAATAACAACAGAAACCCACAAGAAATTTTAACAATTCAGCTATACACATAAAATGGGTTAAATACGAAACAGGTGCTGATTAGAAACACCCATTTTTATGGTAAACTATATGGTAACAGAGATTTCTTAGCAAAATCACTATTAAATTTAATAAAAATACTTGAGCATATTTTAAACCAAGTAATAAATATGAATATTAAGCTTCTTAATGAATTTGTAAAAATTTTACTTAAATAATTGAAATGATCAAATGTATCAATTTCACAGTGAGACAAAATAAACAAAAATAGAAATATCTGGGAGAAGCAATACCATTATGCTGAAAGCTGGTTCTGAGTACAACAATTATTATGTTTTTAGAGAATTTGCCAAATACCTCAAAAATTTCGAGATAAGGGGTAAATCATATGTTTTCGAAACTTTCGTTAGTTAGTTAGTTATATAGTTAGTTAGTTAGTTAGTTAGTAGTTAGTTAGTTAGTTAGTTAGTTAGTAGTTAGTTAGTTAGTTAGTTAGTTAGTTAGTAGTTAGTGTAGTTAGTTAGTTAAGTTAGTTAGTTAGTTAGTAGTTAGTTAGTAGTTAGTTAGTTAGTTAGTTAGTTAGTTAGTTAGTTAGTTAGTTATTAGTTAGTTAGTTAGTTAGTTAGTTAGTTAGTTAGTTAGTTAGTTAGTTAGTTAGTTAGTTAGTTAGTTAGTTAGTTAGTTAGTAGTTAGTTAGTTAGTTAGTTAGTTAGTTAGTTAGTTAGTTAGTTAGTTAGTTAGTTAGTAGTTAGTTAGTTAGTTAGTTAGTTAGTTAGTTAGTTAGTTAGTTAGTTAGTTAGTTAGTTAGTTAGTTAGTTAGTTAGTTAGTTAGTTAGTTAGTTAGTTAGTTAGTTAGTTAGTAGTTAGTTAGTTAGTTAGTTAGTTAGTTAGTAGTTAGTTAGTTAGTTAGTTAGTTAGTTAGTTAGTTAGTTAGTTAGTTAGTTAGTTAGTTAGTTAGTTAGTTAGTTAGTTAGTTAGTTAGTTAGTTAGTTAGTTAGTTAGTTAGTTAGTTAGTTAGTTAGTTAGTTAGTTAGTTAGTTAGTTAGTTAGTTAGTAGTTAGTAGTTAGTAGTTAGTTAGTTAGTTAGTTAGTAGTTAGTTAGTTAGTTAGTTAGTTAGTTAGTTAGTTAGTTAGTTAGTTAGTTAGTTAGTTAGTTAGTTAGTTAGTTAGTTAGTTAGTTAGTTAGTTAGTTAGTTAGTTAGTTAGTTAGTTAGTTAGTTAGTTAGTTAGTTAGTTAGTTAGTTAGTTAGTTAGTTAGTTAGTTAGTTAGTTAGTTAGTTAGTTAGTAGTTAGTTAGTTAGTTAGTTAGTTAGTAGTTAGTTAGTTAGTTAGTTAGTTAGTTAGTTAGTTAGTTAGTTAGTTAGTTAGTTAGTTAGTTAGTTAGTTAGTTAGTTAGTTAGTTAGTTAGTTAGTTAGTTAGTTAGTTAGTAGTTAGTTAGTTAGTTAGTTAGTTAGTTAGTTAGTTAGTTAGTAGTTAGTTAGTTAGTTAGTTAGTTAGTTAGTTAGTTAGTTAGTTAGTTAGTTAGTTAGTTAGTTAGTTAGTTAGTTAGTTAGTTAGTAGTTAGTTAGTTAGTAGTAGTTAGTTAGTTAGTTAGTTAGTTAGTTAGTTAGTTAGTTAGTTAGTTAGTTAGTTAGTAGTTAGTTAGTTAGTTTAGTTAGTTAGTTAGTTAGTTAGTTAGTTAGTTAGTAGTTAGTTAGTTAGTTAGTTAGTTAGTTAGTTAGTTAGTTAGTTAGTTAGTTAGTTAGTTAGTTAGTTAGTTAGTTAGTTAGTAGTTAGTTAGTTAGTTAGTTAGTAGTTAGTTAGTTAGTTAGTTAGTTAGTTAGTTAGTTAGTTAGTTAGTTAGTTAGTTAGGTAGGTAGTTAGTCTATAGTCTAGTCTTTAGTCTAGTCTTTAGTCTAGTCTATAGTCTAGTCTTTAGTCTAGTCTATAGTCTAGTCTATAGTCTAGTCTATAGTCTAGTCTATAGTCTAGTCTATAGTCTAGTCTATAGCCTAGTCTATAGTCTCTCTATTCTCTATTTTTCTAAAACTAAACGCTAAATGAAGAACAAAATTTTCCTAATTAAGCGGTAAAAACAATTAACAAAAATTCAATAGCTATTTAATATGCAATATAATTTAACCAATTAAATATTAAAATTTCATAAAAAAAGCTTTTTAACTAAAAATTATTTTATAACAAATCATTTAACAATATATTCAACAGCAAATCGTACAATGTTTGGTAGCGGCAAATTCTTAAAATTTCTAATTATAATACAATTTAATCAGATGACTCAAGGCTGGGTAAATTATATATTTTTGCCAAAATTTAAAACTCTAATAAAAAAATGTTCTTTACAGTTCATCGATTATTCATCATATGAAGATGAGTGTAATGAAGATTTTATTAAATTTATAGATATACGTTTAATCGAAATATCAAATCGTAAAGTAATAAATGGTTCGGTAATTTTAAAAAAGGAACTGGATAAATTTGATATAACATTTTTAATAACTTCCCCAAGAAGAAATGCCAAACCATTTACCTTGCTCAATGTTACCTTGGATGGTTGTGCTTATCTAAAGAAATCTCAACTGAAGAATGTAAATTTTCCTTATATTTTTTTAACCGAAATTATTGCCTCAAATCCAAATTTTCCGATACAGTGTCCCGTAGAAAAGGTGAGATATGCGGTATGTTGAAAAAATTGTATAATGTATATTTATTATTTTTTTAGGATAAAGAAATTGAAATTAGAAATTTATACATGAGTTCTGAAAGAATACCCATCAAATTTCCCGAATGGCGTTTTACCTCTTCATTTTTGTTTAGCAGAGCTCGGGTGCAGTTTTTAAAAATGATTGTCAATGGTACTGTGAAGAAAGGAAAATAAGATTATTTATTGTAAAAATATATAAACAAATTTTCGATCTGCCTTCTAAGGCCTAAAAATATATGTATATAAGTTAATCTTATTTTATGCACAATAAATAAAAGACCCTATAATTTAGTTCTCCGAATTTGTTCGACTATGAGTTATGGTCAGTGATATAAAAAGAGTATTAGGATGTACATAAAGTTTTGATCGGTAATTTCAGAAGAACACATTCCATTGTAATATCAGTAGAACAGTGACGTCAGTAGACGTACCCTACGCCATATATACGAGGGACTTTGTGTTGCTTGTGCATCTTATTGTATCGCGGTCTGATGTGGGGTACCGTAAGATACTGTCGAGTCAGAGGGCTATTCTGTTAGGGAGTATTCCGATGTGTCGTACGGTCTCTACGGAGGCAATGCAGGTGCTTGCATGAGACCCTCCCCTGTATCTTTAAGTGATGCGTTGTTGCATAGCTTTTAGGTAGATGTGACTGGGTATGAATTGTTGAATGCTAGGACATTGGATGGCTTGAGTGGAAAAGAGAGAAAGTTTGTGTTGCGTGATTGTGTATTGGATAGGTGGCAGTGTAGATGGGATGATGGTGTGTATGGTAGGGTCACACATATCTTAGTCAGGAGCGTCCGTTTTGTAGCTGAGAATACGGATTTGACGGACATGGTTCACCGCATGCATTTTTGTATTCAAGGAATCTAAGTGAGACTGCTTAGCGTGATTGCGCTGGAGAGAATGAGAATTGGTTTATGAGAATATTTGTGATTTGGAGGTTTTGGTGTGACGAGGCCGAATGTAGGTTTTAATTATAGTGGAGCTTTGTTTGACGAGATTAGTTGTGCGAACTCTGCGGTGGAAGTCTTTAAAAGAAGGCGGAGTAGGCGTGGGAATAGTTAGGCAATGTAAATCGGGTGGGTAGATCGGACGTTTACTGACGCAGTGTACATATATCTTAGTCAGGAGCGTCCGTTTTGTAGCTGAGAATTCGGATTTGACGGGCATGGTTCACCGAATGCATTTTTGTATTCAAGGAATTTAAGTGAGACTGCTGAGTAGGAATGCGCTGGAGAGAATGAGACTTGCTTTATGACAATATTAGTGATTTGGATGGTTTTGGTGTGACGAGGTCGGATGTAGGTTTTGATTTTTGTGGTGCTTTGTTTGACGAGATTAGTTGTGTTAGAACTGCGGATTTTGCGGCGGAAGTCCTTAAAAGAAGGTGGAGTAGGCGTGGGAATAGTTAGGCAATGTAAATCGGGATCGGACGTTTACTGACACAGTATATGTTTGTTGCATGAGGTTAGTTCTGTCTACGAATATCGATCGGATTCTATAATCTGGTACCACGAGATCCAGGAGTTCATGTAACAGCGATCGCAGCTTGGCTGTTGGCGAAGACCTACGGGGAGTAACGTGGTGGTTGTGTTTTAAACCCAAATAGCTTGTAGAATGTAAGATCAGTGTGGAGTTGCATTGCAAGCGGGTGCCTGACCCATTGAAAGACATTTAGAAGTTTATATAGTTTCCGATCGTGACAAATGGTGAAGACATGTCCAGAAGTATGACTTGGAATTTGTAACTCTTTTTCTTCATGCCACGGATTTGTATTCATCCTGTCAATAGACTGGACTCGCTGGGAATTAGTTTGATGAGATCTCCTCTACAACAACTCTTATAGAGTGATCTATGAAAAAGCTAATATTAATCGAGAGAAGTATCCAATATCCTTTTGCCAAAATGGTGATTGGAATGACTCCATTTCTTCGAAAGAAGGTCTCTCATTAAACGATCTCTACGAAAGACATACTGGAGGTCGTTTAGTAAATTGTTGGGCTCGAAATATTAGAACGAGTTTGATGAGATCTCGTCTACAACAATCTTATAGAGAGATCTTTGAAAAACCTGACATAAATCGAGAGAAGTAGCCAATTTTCTTTCGCCAAAATGGTGAATGGAATGATATGATTTATTCGACAAAAGGCGAGTAGAAAACTCATATTGAAACTAACATCTCCAACGAATAGAAGGATATTTTTTTTGAGAAATTAATTTTTACTTTCCCATAGTTAATTAGGTCATATTTATTACAACAAATAAATTCAAACAAAATTTTTCCAATATATTTATCTTAATTTTTCACCGTACCATCGATAAAAAGTGTAAAAACATGTATCTTACGTTGCCTTGTTATAACTTCACAATGATAAGGAATTTCTGGAAAATTTAAGGATATTGATTGAACTGAAAAATTTCGAAAAATATCTCTTTATCCTGAAAAAGAAGCAAATAAGATAAAAAGGATTTAATATACATACTATGACCCTCTACCTTCTCTATGGGACACTTTTTAGGGAAATCCGGATTTGTTGAATGTATTTCTGAAAGGAAAATATACGGAAACTTGACATTATTACGACTGCCCTTTTTCAAAAAATCACAACCATCTTGGGTAACGTTAAGTAGTGTCCATGGTAAACCACTGGTTTTTTTAGAAGTTATAAGAAATGTGATATTAAACTCGACGATTTCCTTGTTAAACATAAAAGAAACATCTATGGCATTTTGTTCATTAGTGTTATTGATTAAATGCATTTTCAAATATTTAACAAAATCGGTATTATACTCATAACGCAGTGTTTCAAAACTTGTTCTCTACGATGATAATGCTGTAAGAGAAATATTGCTTGATATTTATTGATATATTTACCCATCCTTGCATAGATGAATTCAAATTAAGAAGAATAAAAAAATTTAACAGTTTTCTATAAAATGACATTGCTGAAACGAATGTTGAGTATAAATTGTCAAAAATAGAGTAAGTCAATTTACTTATTTTGTCCTCGCTTTAAAATAAATTGTTTTTAAAATGTTAATAATTAGGTGCATTAAACTCTAGTGGAATTTCAATTAAAAACTTAATATAATTTCAAAACAATCATTTAAAAAATTTAAAATTGTTTCATGGAGTACAGAGTAATAGAGTATTTTGGTACAAAATCTGATGTCTATTACAATATTTATGTTTTAAAATTTGTGTGATTAAATAAATAATACATTAATGAAATATCAATTATATCTTTTTTTTAGTAATTTCGATAATGGTAAGCAGTGACTCATCAATGATGCAGTGACCAAAATGTTGTAAATATCAGGATTTAGGGCTCTTGTCTAATCTATACTCTTGTCAATAGTCTAGTCTATTCTAAAGTCTAGTGTATAGTCTAGTCTAAAGTCTAGTCTAAAGTTTAGTCTATAGTCTAGTCTATAGTTTAGTCTATAGTCTAGTCTATAGTGTAGTCTATAGTCTAGTCTATAGTATAGTCTATAGTCTAGTCTATAGTCTAGTCTAGTCTAGTCTATAGTCCAGTCTATAGTCTAGTCTATAGTCTAGTCTATAGTCTAGTCTATAGTCTAGTCTATAGTCTAGTCTATAGTCTAGTCTATAGTCTAGTCTATAGTCTAGTCTATAGTCTAGTCAGAGTCTATAGTCTAGTCTATAGTAGTCTATAGTCTAGTCTAGTCTAGTCTATAGTCTAGTATAGAGTCTCTAGTCTAGTCTAGTCTATAGTCTAGTCTATAGTCTAGTCTAGTCTATAGTCTAGTCTATAGTCTAGTCTATAGTCTAGTATAGTCTAGTCTATAGTCTAGTCTATAGTCTAGTCTATAGTCTAGTCTATAGTCTAGTCTATAGTCTAGTCTAGTCTAGTCTATAGTCTAGTCTATAGTCTAGTCTATAGTCTAGTCTATAGTCTAGTCTATAGTCTAGTCTATAGTCTAGTCTATAGTCTAGTCTATAGTCTAGTCTATAGTCTAGTCTATAGTCTAGTCTATAGTCTAGTCTATAGTCTAGTCTATAGTCTAGTCTATAGTCTAGTCTATAGTCTAGTCTATAGTCTAGTCTATAGTCTAGTCTAGTCTAGTCTAGTCTAGTCTAGTCTAGTCTATAGTCTAGTCTATAGTCTAGTCTAGTCTATAGTCTAGTCTAGTCTATAGTCTAGTCTATAGTCTAGTCTATAGTCTAGTCTAGTCTATAGTCTAGTCTATAGTCTAGTCTAGTCTATAGTCTAGTCTAGTCTAGTCTATAGTCTAGTCTATAGTCTAGTCTATAGTCTAGTCTATAGTCTAGTCTATAGTCTAGTCTATAGTCTAGTCTATAGTCTAGTCTATAGTCTAGTCTATAGTCTAGTCTATAGTCTAGTCTATAGTCTAGTCTATAGTATAGTCTATAGTCTAGTCTATAGTCTAGTCTATAGTCTAGTCTATAGTCTAGTCTATAGTCTAGTCTATAGTCTAGTCTATAGTCTAGTCTATAGTCTAGTCTATAGTCTAGTCTATAGTCTAGTCTATAGTCTAGTCTATAGTCTAGTCTATAGTCTAGTCTATAGTCTAGTCTATAGTCTAGTCTATAGTCTAGTCTATAGTCTAGTCTATAGTCTAGTCTATAGTCTAGTCTATAGTCTAGTCTATAGTCTAGTCTATAGTCTAGTCTATAGTCTAGTCTATAGTCTATAGTCTAGTCTATAGTCTAGTCTATAGTCTATATAGTCTAGTCTATAGTCTAGTCTATAGTCTAGTCTATAGTCTAGTCTATAGTCTAGTCTATAGTCTAGTCTATAGTCTAGTCTATAGTCTAGTCTATAGTCTAGTCTATAGTCTAGTCTATAGTCTAGTCTATAGTCTAGTCTATAGTCTAGTCTATAGTCTAGTCTATAGTCTAGTCTATAGTCTAGTCTATAGTCTAGTCTATAGCTAGTCTATAGTCTAGTCTATAGTCTAGTCTATAGTCTAGTCTATAGTCTAGTCTATAGTCTAGTCTATAGTCTAGTCTATAGTCTAGTCTATAGTCTAGTCTATAGTCTGGTCTATAGTCTAGTCTATAGTCTAGTCTATAGTCTAGTCTATAGTCTAATCTATAGTCTAGTCTATAGTCTAGTATATAGTAGTATAGTCTAGTCTATAGTCTAGTATATAGTCTAGTATATAGTATAGTATATAGTCTA